CATTCAAAGTCCATTTCATCGTCACACACATCATCAAAATGGCCAGGACAAGAAAAGACGGTTCCGAAAAGACTTCATGCATGACAGTTTAAATGAACATTATTTCCTCTATTTATCCACCATCTCATCATCACCAGGGATCATTACGGGGATCAGAAACCCCCCCACAAACTGGCGATCATCCCACTTACTTAGACACAAGTCACCTTGTTCTATGTTGTACCAAATTTGTGCAATTTGATTGCAAAGAAAGTTAGACCTGGATTACATTTCATCATCATCTTTGTCATTATATCTGGGGGATCGGCGGAGTCAATTTTGGGTTTCACCTTTACACACATGGCGAAGGAGTTCACTCATCGTTTTGGAATTTCATATTCTCTGTATCTTTCAGTGTTTATCCATCCTTTTTCTAATCATTGGGCGGGCAATGGGACTTGGCTTGGTTGGGAAAGGATAAACGGGCGAGGTGACGGTGTAAGGGGAGGAAATGCACTTGTTGCAGTTTTTTGGCTTGACATATATAATATCCCTTTGTGCTTTTGCACATTTAGGGATCAAATAACAAGATCAATTTGATCGTTGCTATCACCTTGGCATTCCAATCATTGACATGACGTTGTCATAGACATAGCACGTAGCACATATCAACCTTTAAATACCAGTGTCGTGAACAAGTTATAGGAAACATCCAAAACGCGCACGCATGCACACACAAGTCGCGTCTGAAAACAACAGAACTTCAAGTCAGGGGCGGGAGCAAAGAAAAAAAAAAACCGAAGAGGCAGAAACTAGCTTTAGACCACTCCCACCAAATGATCTCTCACTTCAATTTTATTTCAGTGGCGCTCCTTGCGACTGGAATTAAGCGAAAATGAAACTTCACGCCGTGAGGTTGGTACGAGTTTTTCTTTTTCTCTTTTTCTATTATTATCATCGAGTTTTGTGACACTATTAACCTAAGTAGGTACCACGACGGTACGTGGGATTAGCGACAGCAGCTAAGTAACTATGCAATGGGCTTATTGCATACCTACCTACCTAGAGGCCCATACTCTGGCTACTCAACCCCATATAGCTCAGCTACCAACCGCTACCAACCGCTTCTGACAGCTTGCTACATAGAGTCCCGGACCAGTAGAGACTGCCTACAGGTCGGGTTGGAATCAGCCATGTTTTACCTACATGTAGTAGATATTTCCTTTGCATTGATACCGTCGAGGTACCTGTTCGTGTGTCTCTTAAGGCATATTTTCGTGCTACAAAAAGGAGCAGAGAGACTGTAGAGAGAGAGATCAACTAACGTTTGTCCGTCGTGATCCATTGTAGCTTGAACTTTGACCAAGTCTTCACGAAGCCATATATAGGTAGTGTCACAGTACGTCGATTGGGGGCTGGTGTACCAAGGAATCCGACGAAAGTAAAGAGATATTGGAGATGAAGAACGAAGAGGCAGGAACGTGCAGTGTGGATGTGGAACAGATGGGTAGCGGTTTCTGCATGCGATGACAGACGAACAGATGGGTTGAGAGGCCAAAGACCGGATGGAGACCCAACGAAGGGTCTGGAAGGTACTGGCGAGATTTCATCGTGTGATCAAAGATGGTTCTGATATGTATCCCGACCTGCTCAGCACGGGTTTACTGACATGACTCTATTCGTATAACCTACCAAGTGCCTCTGCGAAGGAGCTAAGTAACCCTGACACCATAGGCGAACAGCAACGACTGGACGTAGGACATTCACGAGAAAGATTTGCTAATATTATATTCAACGCTGGCGAACCGCTGCAGGAATTCTCGTCGAGTAAAATTGGTCCCCAAGAACACAAGAGTCGCGACTTCCGCTTCCTCCCGGATATCCTGAGAAATGAAAGCGCTTAAGCCCAATATCAAACATAGAGCCCAGTATTGTACCAGAGCTGGCCACGCAGAACCCAACCAAAGACGCGCAATGTGCCCCCGTACACTCACTCCATATCCGCATGCATCCAGAGATGTGCATGCTTTGGTATAAAACAACATCAACGACAACATCAGCAAGAACCCACCCTCATATGCCTATATTGTTACACGAGCTCCTCTAGGATTGGAAACTCTTCGCCTTCGTCTCCGCCTCTTCCTTTAGCTTGTTGGCCTCCTCCGCCTCTTTCATCTCGCGAACCTTGGCCAAAACGACCTCGCGGAAGATGGCCGTCTTGATAGTCTTGGACAGTGTCCGCTTTTCGGCGGGCGCGGTGGCGTTCTCGGCGTCTGAGGATCCGCCCTTGGTGCTCGCCACGGATAGAGCACGGTGGCGGGACTGGGCCTGGTCGGCGGCAAGTGTCGCGTCACCGGGCATATCGGTGTTCTCCGGGTCGTCCTCCTGCATCTTGAGCGCCTCGATGCGGTTCGCAAGCTTGACCATCTCGATGCCGCGTCTAAGGCGGGCCTTGGTAAGGTACGCTTTGATCTCGGGCAACAAGTTGTGGTTGGTTGCGGAATCGCCGCGCAGCCAGGGGTGAGCCAAAGCTTGCTAATTGATCGGGGCAAGCGTGTCAGTAGCCGTATTTGAGAACGTCAGATCAGCACAACATAACATGACTAAGTCTTACCTGGCTTGTCCACCGGTGCTCTGGCTTGGGCTGCAAAAGCCTCAGAATGAAGTCCTTGGCGTCGTTGCTAACGTCCTTCCAGTAGCGCTCATGGAAGACAACGCTGCCGCTGCTGCATTCGTCGATGAGGTCCTGAAGGTTTTCGGAGCGGAATGGCGAGTAGCCGCAGAGGAGGGTATACGTTATAACACCCATTGACCACATGTCGACAGGCTTGCCGTGACCCTGCTTGAGCATAACTTCGGGCGCCGCATAACCGAACGAGCCGGCCATAGTGGTGAGAACTTCGTCCTTATTATCCAGCATTTTGGCAATACCAAAGTCAGCCAGAACTAGATCCGAATCGGCATCTCGGGTAAGGTATAGGAGGTTCTCAGGCTTGAGATCTGCAAAATGAAGGGTTAGATCAGGTGTCCAGAAAATGGACAAGAAAGGACGCCACTAACCCCGATGGACGACGTTGTTCTCGTGGAGGTAGTTGACGGCACCCAAGACTTGCTTGATGGTCTGGGAAGCATCCTTTTCTGTGAATTTTCCTTGCTCGCAGATCCTGTCGAAGAGCTCGCCTCCCGTCGCAAGCTGAGTAACGATGTAGTACTTGTCCTAGAGGAAGCAAAGTTAGTCTCGGCGTAGCCACCCTAAGCCCGTAGCAATCATACACACCCTAGACTCAAACCAGTCGACAAACTTCACAATGTGAGGGTGCTTGAGGCGCTGAAGCATCTCTAGCTCGTCAAGAACCATCTGTTCGTTGCCCTTGACATTTTTCTTCAATATAATCTTGATAGCAACCCTGCCGGTAGGGCCGCTGGCCTCTCTGACGATACCATAGGTACCAGCACCTAGCGTTCGACCAAAGGAGTACTTGGACCTAATATAGGGTGTTGTCAGTGCCATAGGCGGGGCAAGCAAACAGTCGAGAACGGGACTCGGAGGCGTACTTCTTGTCGTAGCTTTCGGGCTGCCCGTGAAGGCGATTAAGCATGTTGGCGACTGTGTGTGAGGGATCCATTGTTAGCTGAGGTTCGCTCTACAACCGAATGGCATGTAGTCGGAAAGGAAGAGGTATAGGGGGTGTACGACGGGGGCCAGTTCTTCTTTGTCTATCCGAGGGGGAGAAGACTTGAGAGGAGACCTGAAAAGAACAGACCAAGACTGACGAGACCGCGCGAAAGTAGAGGGAACTTACAGCTCATGGTGTCAATGTCTGGAGAAACGAAGCAAGAAGGCGCGGTAGACGGATTGTGGGAGGGGGAAGAGCTGCTTGGTTCTCTTCCTTCCGCTCTCGAATGTGCAAGTGGCAGGAGGCTATCAACACTGATAACCGAACCGGTCGAGCTGTGAACTTGGACGAAACTTGTAGGCTGGCTTGCGATTGACCAGGACGAGGGGCTGAAGAGCTGAGATTCGGGAATGGGCTGCGAAGGAGTGGCAGAGCAAGACGAGAGGATGCTTGGCAGCAGTAGATTGGGCTGGACAAGAAAGGCGGCTGTCAGAGTTCAAGTTCTCGCTCCAGATGTACACATGTCAGGTAGGACGATAGGGGACCTGGGGGGTATCCGCTGAGTGCAATGCGGGCTGAGGGCAGGTCCCACTAACTCCAGATAGGTGGGAGTATGTAGAGGTACTTGGCCTGCAAACGGTGATGGGGGGTAAGCCCTGTGCAAGTGCGACTGACCGTATGGGGTTATTGGAATGCCCCTCGTTTTCAGAAATAAGGATGAAGGGCGAAATCTGTGAAACGACGTTCACAATGGAAACTTGTGAGGGCCGGGGAGAGGTAATGAGAGAAGAGAGATCAAACCCAAACCCCGTGGGATGAAGGGATGCCTCCGCTCAGGTTGCTTGTCTATTTCCACTGTCACTGCCACTGGCCTCCCGTCATTGTCCCTTATTCCACTTCCACGCTACACCCACATCCGCTCCACGGCACCAGACGGGGCGGGTCACCTTGACGGGCGCCTGGAGGGTGTTTTGGGCCCGACTCTTGGCATCCTCCCAAAATATAGGCAGCCAGTTGTTGGTGATCCTAATGCGTACGGATACCTACCTATTTCTGGGAGCTTTCGGTTCTCAAAGTGGTAGGTTGAGCTACCGCTACAACAACCTTCGAACTGCGATTCCATGCATCAAGGGGCTGTGAAGGAGGCCGTGGAGTGCTCAGCCCACGAACCGCCATGTTCCAAACAACCTCAAGTAGCGAGTCCACTGCGTAGGGTGCGCAAAGAGGGGCACTGGGGCACCATCTGGTCTGGGCGGGCCTGTGATTGGGGAGGGGTCAGGGCAGTGGGAGCTTTACGCGACAAGGGTCATGTCGGGTCTTTGGGCCCTCGTTTGAGCCTTGGGCAAACCGTGTTGAAATGCAGCCCTGCGTGAGCACTGCAAGTACCTGGTAAATAGCATCGAACTCTGAGCACCTAGACTCATCCCATCACCATCACCGGTTAGGCGCACTTCCAAAACCATATCGTAGGAATTGGAATGTTCACCGAGGAAGTGCGCGTGAATGAGCATCTGACTCGTGCATACTGGACTATTATAAGGTTCGTTTGAGGTGACTAGAGACTGAATAGATCAATGATCATCAGTGTCGAGTCCTTCACAGCCTGTCTTTCGCGATGCTGAAATTCTTCCAGGGGCAACCAATGTCAGATTGGCGATCCACTTTTCTGCCCGCAAAGTCCAGGTGCAACATCTTTCATCGATTCTATAACTCCCTCCACATCATCAACGTCTTCGGCTGGTTGACTTCCTCATCAACACTAGCTTTTATGATGAAACCTTCAGTGCCTACTCACTGCACTACCTCTCTTAAAAATCCGAAAATTTCCGGTCATTGGGCGAGTAGTTACCCTCGCGAACTAGCTGCAGTGAAGTTGGATATTATTCTCGCTGTGTCGTGGCTCGGCTTCATTTGTTTGATTCCGGTAGGTATTTGGATCTGGACGACCTCATCCTCAGGCTTTGCTAGACTGATGCTTTGTAGAGAACGGAGATAAAGTCAAACGGGGCAAAACTAGGCACCTCTATGCATTTCCTCTTTGGCCGTTCCCATGTTCTAGTGTGACTGGCAGATATCGAGATTCCCTATGGCCTCCGATAGGCATCTTTCACGTGTAACATTCTATGGTACCTCTATGGCCCGAGCGCTGGCGATCTTTCCTATCAGATTCCAAATAGCCGGAAGACAACCTATCGGGCGAAGTGAAAGGGTTGGAAAGGTCACCGAGAAGACTGGAGGCTGTTCCAACCTATATCGCGTTTGGGTTTTCCACCTCAAACGGAAGCTACAGCCCTGCAGCTGTATTGACCAATCGACGAGTAGTCCCCCGCGCGTGGGATTATCATCCTCCAATGGTGAAATGCGGTTTCTCTTCCTTCATTCTCTTGCGTCGCTCCTGGTCTTACCACTCGTGGACGTTGATTTCCGTCTCTCTTGAACTGATTGTCGCGACCCCTCCCAGCCTCAGCCCTACTAACAATTCCCTGCAACTCAGAGCAAGCGCTGCGCAATTCACCACCTTCTGGCATCAACAATACTTCAGCTTGAACTCGCTCGGACAGGGACCGCAAGCTCAGGCTATCATCTAGGAATCATTTCAGACTCGTCATTCAATACCTCTGCAGTTTCTCCAGGATTGGGATTGGTCAAACATAACCCCACCAACCTCAGCTACATCACCTGCTGAAGATTATTAGTCCGCCTTTCACTGTTGCCTTGTAAGGCTCTCCCATTCGCCATCGGAGACTGTCGCTGCTGCAACACTGTCCCGTAGTCACTCAGCAATTATGCCGGTACAATTTGCTGCAAAGAGGCTGGGGAAGGAATTGAACAAGGTTAGTTGGATTTCCGGACAGCCCTCATACCCCATATAGGTTGGACTGGATTCGGAGATTGATTGCAACGACTGACGCGATTACGTCCTGTCCATCAGATCCAAAATGGCCTCCCACCTGGCATTGAGCTCGTCTCCGCAGACAACTTGGAAGAGTGGCTCCTGGATATACGAGTCCTCGACAACAACCCGCTTTACCTCAACGATACATATCGACTAAAGTTCCGATTCGGCCAGTCATACCCCATCGGTACGCATGATTAATGAGTGATTGACTGCGGTTGGAGCAGCAGCTAATCAACTTCTAGAGCCTCCCGAAGTGGTATTCGTCAAGCAAGCCGACCGGCCGATTCCGATCCACCCGCACATCTATTCCAACGGAATCATTTGTCTCGACCTACTCGGTCAACAGGGTTGGAGCCCCGTGCAAAGCGTGGAAAGCGTGTGCATGAGTCTACAAAGCATGTTGACCGGGAACACCAAGAACGAACGACCTCCCGGCGACGAGGAATTTGTTCGCGCCAACAAGCAGCGCCCCAAGGATATTGAGTTCTACTATCACGACAATACCGTCTAGAGGAAAAACGGGGGTCGGCGGCAGAACATCTTGCGAAAATTGCGCTGGAAAATGGGAAGGCGTTACTTTTTCGGTACACAACGCTTCCAGCGTCCAATCTGGATGGTCTAGTCACCCACACTGGATGGGGCGTAGTTCGTATTGTTTGCATTATAAGGAGTTCACATACTTGCAAGTTGACTGGGATTTAATACTGGCGCATAAAGGCTTAGGGAAGGTGAGTTGTAGTTGATGAGCATTCGGAATTGCTCGACTCGGCACTGGAACAGCGAGCCTGTTTGATATGCAATTTTCGCAAGATTGGTGATTAGTTATACTCAGCAGCACCGGGAACTTGAGTCTCACCAAATACTCAGCATAACTACTAGGCAGCGGAAGACATTGACTGATTTTCTATGCGATGAACCTATGGTTGTTGTTGTTCTTTACTTGGGAGATCAGTCCAGATGACGTAAGATTGAATATCATCCCGATAAGAAGACGATAGAGGTAAGTCTTATCAGTTGCCAGCACCGCCCATTAGGTCTGTCCGAGCCTTTCAAACACACCCAGCCTTGAATCTTGAGGGCACCAATGCTAAGTGATCGAGAAGATGATTTCACGTATCACCTCACCATTGCTGATGATCCAAAATTTCATTCTGTCTCCTAACATTATAGGGGTACAAGTATGGGTACGGGAGAGTGTTATGTGTACTGAGGATAGAACGACATTCCCGTCCAGCCTAACTAATCGACCCACTTCAGCCCGCTGCCCTGAGATAAGTGTACCCTGCCTCCCTGCGCTTTGGGGTATGCGCCCAGGCGGTGCAGTGAAGCACAACATGAACCCAGCCAGCAGGGCGGACCGGCCGACCAGGTCGGGAGCTCGAGCTTCACCCTACTCGTCTGGGCTAGAAACGCCCTCTGGGACCCCAAGCAAAGCTTGGGGTCTGGTGCGTGGATTCGCGAAAGTGAATGGATTCGCGAAAATTTTGGTACTTCCCCACCCACACAAATTAGCAATACAACCATATCTTACCATTATCATAAAAATTCCTGCATTCACGCATATAATATCGCTTAACCTAACAAATATCCCTGTATTCAACTAGCAATTCAACAAAGCAGGGTCGATATCAGCATCCCCGCCATCACCACCTTCTAGTATAGTGTTTTAAACCTCCACCACAGAATCCTCTACCATAGAATCTAGCTATATACCAGAGTCTTACTCTTCAATTAGCGAACTAGGAAGCTCCCAACTATACCCCGGTCTATAGTAATATATACCAATATTGTTCTTACACAACATCTCGATATACTCCTCCCACATTAGCCCAATCTACTCCTCAATTTCATCATAGTCAAAGGGAGGGAGCTCATCCTCTTCAAGCTTAATATCAGGCTCTTTACTAATAATAAACGAAGTAATAACCTTATTAATAATAATTGAATTGTATATCTATAGAATAATAGGCTTCAGTCTATCCCCGGGTAGTACCTAATAGAAAGGAAGGATAATATCCTTTTCTAATCTACTTAACCGCGCTATTTCTACTTAAATAATAATTTATTTTACCTCCTAATAGAACTCCTAACGCTCTTACCGTATAGATTTATAAAGATTAAACAATTAAATTTAATCTTTAATTTTATTTAAAATCAAATTAATTACTATATTCTAATCTATACGCAATTTACCAGCAAATCGTAACTCCACCCTCTTATTTTAAACTTTATTCTATTACTCAATTTTATACATACTTAACCACCTTCTAAGAACAATCCGTTTAATATCAAAATCTTTCTTACGTTAGCACAATCTCTCTCTATTGCATAATTCAATTCTATAATATTCATTTGCAGCCATACGAAAACGAATATTACCAACCTTAATTAAACTAGTACAAATAATTAACCGGTTGGTTATACGGTTTTCTCTCTATACTACCTCTTCTAATTACCTCCTTTTTTTAAAGCGCTACACTTCTACATTAGTAACCCCTATTAAAGCAATTACTTTAATAAATTTATTACATTTGAATATAACGTATCTAGTAACGGGGTTAAGGGGTATCTTTACTATAATCGATTTGAGTAACCTATCTTGAACGTACGTATTGTACCCTAAAATTATAGCCATATTAAGCGGTAGTATTATCACCTTTGCCCAGTCTTTCTTAAACTATAGTACTAGAGGGGGGGTTATAATACTATAACCATTATAAGGGTTAATAGTACTAAAGGATCTGAATTATTACTATAATACCAGGTCTATAGGGCCTCTCTCCTTCTCTTATACTTATAAATAGGCTCGATTAACTGCAATTAACGTTAATTCAAACTAACCTTCTTCGTTTTCAATTGTAATATACCCCTTCTTTCTCTTCAAAACATCCGGGTTAATTATTAATATAAACGGGTCTTATAACTTATCAAATACAATAAATAGTTTATATAGGCAAAGACCACACTTTACCCAGGCAGACTTGACAATCGACTACTTAAAAGACTCGCTTCTAATATCAAACAACCCATTTAAAAACGTAAGTTTAATATACTCTACATCACCATACATTATAGTCTTAAGTATATCCTTCTAATAATAGTACTTATAAATTTGAAAAATACTAACGTTAAATAATTAAAGTATATACGTAGAGTAAGGGGGTAATAGGAAGAGGATAACATTATTATAGCAGTATTATTAGTAGAATTCAATAGTACAGTAACTACTATAATTATCCAATAATAGGAGACGCTTCTCATTTTTATTAAAGGGACGAGAATACTCCTCCCAATAATCAAACCAATCGAAGGCAAGCTAATCGTCAATATAACCGCTTAGGAATATAACAATAATAGAATAACCGTTAAATCAATTATCGATATAATTCTTATTAATATTAACGCCAGGGAGGATAATAAACGCGGACACTATACAACTAAATATAAATATACACTCAATAACCGTCACAAACTCGCGCACATCTAGGTTGGGGGTATATATAATCAGTATCTCAACATACGACCAAACAATATAGGACTTAAATTGTACGCCGACTCTAAACCCAAACTCATCCCTATTCTATATATTATCTAGCGTAATATCATACTTATCAACCGTCTCTTTCTACAATTTAAAAACCTCTTCTATACCAATCCGAGACTATACTACCTTACGCACCTACACTAGCGACTTCGTACGTATAAATTTAAATTCTAACCGGGTTATATAACGACGAACCCAATACTAATCAACGTCGATCTTACAACCGTTGGCCCGAATAAACCACTTAACAGCGTAAATAATCTCTCGGTTCGTAACCTCATATCCTATTTAAATATTAAAACAATTAACTAATAATTAATATTAATTATAATTAACCGCTATAGATCCATATAAACCGATAAATATCTATATATTTATCCAAATATACAATACAAACTCCTCCTCTTCAATTAATTTCTTTACCCCGCTATTCTACAATTATAATTTAATACCTTTCGACCGACTCATAGTAGTATAGTAACTAACGCTATAAACTCGTACCGCGGCCGCAACCGTCTTGAACTTTCCCTCTCTCAACGTACCAACAGCGAAATCGACACGCTATTTATTTAAAAGACCAGCGAAAAGGTCACTAACGGGCTCCATTATATACAATTTTACAACAAAGTAATTAGATTATTAAGGGCGTAAATATCCAGAACCGAAGGCAGGATAGTAATAAACGAAGGCGCTAAACGGCCAGAAACAACCAAACTACCCGCCGCTTACACCCCGTACGTCATTGACACGTCAGATTAGGAGCTAGCTAGTAATATTTATACTAGTTACCTCATTTGCCTTATTTTACACTAAACACCAGCGCTGCCAATGCGATATTTGATGGATTCACACGGTCATGGAAGTCAAATTGCTTATGCTGGGTATGCAAAAAAAGAGAAGTACTTTGATTTGCCACCAAAATTGCGGGGTGGACCAGGTACCGATTTTTTTTCGCGAATCCATTCACTTTCGCGAATCCACGCACCTGACCCCGTGCCAGCACGGGGTCAGACTGCGGCGTTTCTAGCCCTGACGAGTAGGTGCTTCGTCATTAACCGCCCGCCATCCTAGGATCCACACCACAACACCAACAGCCGCATGAGGAGAACTCGACCACCATGGCTCCCCATGCGGAGTTCGACATCGAGCAGATCAGAGAAAAGGGCCGCAAGGACATCTTGTATCTCTTAGAATCAGTATGTACAGCCGTAATGCCCCCAAAACCACCCAAGCCAGGCAGCATCGGCCAGACGCAACGATGTCCGCAACGCTTGGTGCAAGTGCTGAACTGACGGCAGCTTGTGAGATCCTGTGCAGGTCCGCGGAAAGAAGAATATTGTGATTGAGAAGAGCTTGGCTGGTCCACTTAACGCCTTTGTCGGAGCGTCAACTTTGCGCGACTATGGTGCCGATAACTTCTTCTTTCTTGAGAACAACAACACCGACTCGAGCCAGCGCAATGTGGTCTTCATTGCCCGGGGCGAACTGGCCCATCATGCTCACGCGATAGCAGGTACGAACGCCAACCACATTCTCACGGACAAGAGAAACCGCCCGCAGGTCCCTGAAGGTGCTGACAGGTTTCCAGATCAAATAAAACGTCTACAGCAAGAGAGCCAGTCTCCCCACGAGTTCCACGTTTTTTGGGTACCCCGCCGAACGCTGGTTTCAGACAAGGTACTGGAGGAGGCCGGTGTCTTGGGCGATACCAATGTCGCCGAGCTACCACTATACTTCTTCCCGCTTGACACCGATGTCTTGTCCCTCGAGCTAAACGACTCGTTCAGAGACCTGTACCTCGCGAAGGACCCCACACCAGTCTTTCTGCTTTCCAAGGCCTTGATGGGTATTCAACAAAAGCATGGCCTCTTTCCCAGGATCGTTGGCAAAGGCGAAAACGCTAAGAGAGTCGCTGAATTATTGTCTCGTATGCGACATGAAATTCTCGCTGGCGAAGAAGCAGCCGAAGGGGACAAGGTCGGCCTGTCGCCTAGCACCACCAACGAGAGTGTTATCATCATTGACCGTGAAGTTGACTTTGTCACACCCCTTCTGACACAGCTGACCTACGAGGGTTTGATCGACGAGGTATTCGGTGTCCAAAATAACCAGGCCGATGTGGACTCGACGATCATCGGCGCACAGCCGGAACCACAAGGCTCAACTACCGCCGCCGCTGCCGTCGTGAACAACGGGCCTTCGCGCAAGCGCAAAGTCCAACTTGATTCCTCCGACAAGTTGTTTGAGCAATTGCGCGATGCAAATTTTGCAATTGTCGGAAGTCTTTTGAACAAGATTGCTCGTCGCTTAAAGAGTGACTATGAGAGTAGACATAGCTCCAAGACAACAGCGGAGCTCAAAGATTTTGTCTCGAAACTTCCGGGATACCAGGCCGAACAGAAGAGCCTCAAGATTCATACCGGCTTGGCGGAGGAGATTATGAAGTATACTCGCACGGAACATTTCAGCAAAATGCTAGAGGTTCAGCAGAATCTCGCAGCCGGAGCAGATCCATCATCCCAGTTTGAAGCGATTGAAGAACTAATAGCACGCGACGTCCCACTGCCGCAAGTATTGCGATTACTATGCGTGTATTCATGTATCTCGGGCGGGATCAAGACGAAGGAGTTCGATCACTTTCGGCGCCTTATACTGCAAGGATATGGCTATCAACACATACTCACACTCCATAACCTAGAAAAGCTTCAGATGTTCCTCTCGAGGTCGTCCCCTCTGGCATCCATGATCCCCATGACTGGATCTGTTGGGGCGACGGGAACGAAGACCAACTACACATATTTACGGAAGCAACTGCGACTCATTGTCGACGAGGTCAACGAGCAGGATCCCAACGATATTGCCTACGTCTACAGCGGCTATGCGCCTCTTTCAATACGCCTTGTTCAGTGCATCCTTCAGAAGCAGTATTTGCTCTCAATCACAAAAGGAGCAGCTGCCACCAACACAGCCGGACCAGCTGCAGGAGGCGCACAGGGATGGCGTGGGTTCGACGACGCTGTCAAGCATGCCCGAGGTCCGACATTTGATGAGGTGCAAAAGGGCGAGGACAAGGCTGTCAAGGCTCGGGCGCTGTTGTCCGGTAACGACGGCCAGAAAACAGTGTTTGTCGTGTTCGTTGGCGGTATCAGCTTCAGTGAGATTGCGGCTCTTCGGTTCATTGCGAAGAAAGAAGAAGGTATGTCGCTATTCTATGTCTCCATCGGTGTGCTCAAGCTGGCCGCAGAAGCACAAGAAGCCAATCGATCACTAACTGGGGTGTCACGAACATTAGGTCGGAGGAAAATTGTCATCTGCACAACGTCCATTATTAGCGGAAACAAGATGATGGAGGCCGCGATCGAGAATGGGACATTCGGTACCGAGAGCCTGCAACAGGAGTCGGATAGTTGATATTGGAGGGTTGATTGATACTTGATTCTGGTCGGGGGAACATCCACAACAGACGCGGAATACAGAAGCATACCATGACCACAGTTGGGAAAGTCTAGGCTGTGCTCATAATACGTAGATGGAGTGAAGGGAGTCATTGACGATGATTGCTGCGAACCAGAAGGCATACTGGCTTGGAAGAGAACATGAGCCCTCTCCCATTCACAGGGATTGTTATCCTCTCTCTGCGCCTCACGTGATTGGACCACGGACCTTGATTACTCGTAATAACGCGCAATGGCTGAAAAGAACGCTTTTGCATCAATTAAGTAAAACGACCAGCGTTAATTTCTTGTCACTGAAATTCTGAGCATGCGCTAATCCTTACCGACCTTCCGCACTTTTGAAGGGCGCTGTTACCAGTGGGAGTGGGTTCCGTTCCAGGTCTCGGGCAGCAGATCCGTCAGTGCGACTGTATCAGCACACAGACTGGAGACAACGGCAGCCAGACAACAACCTCGAAGGCTGAAGCAGCAACAACAACAACAGCCAAGTCTACAATTTATATATTTTCTCTAGTCAATCTACGACGATTGAGGAACTGAGAAATATCGATGCACCAGCTGCCAAGGGCGTCGTAGTCAATACCACCAAGTATTTCCCCTCAGCGATCGACGACATTTCAAACCCAGACGGCGACGTACCAATCGTACGACGTCTATGAGACGAAACTTCAACATTGCTCCATGGGCTGCGATATGATATTGCGAGGTACATATACCAAACATTTTCGACGTCCATTTCCTTCACCCATTTGCACACAATACCGTACATGGTCCAACCATAACCACTTTCCTCCATACTATCACACATCCTTCACTGTACAAGGTCCTCAGGCCTTACTTCAATATTCAACTTGGGCTGACCAGAAGTCTCAGAAGCCGGAGCACTTCTTGTACCAGAGCAATAGGCAGTCCAGTCGAATGGCCGGTTTTCACACCACCATCATCACCCGAACCGGCTCCATCTTATCCTTTGCCCTCCGCTGAATCCGGTGTGGCCTGTATATATGGAAGCAGGTCCACTTCGACGTGAGCGAAGACGACGGTGCCGATCTATCAACCCCATATTCCAGTCCAGCGGTTCTTTTCTAGTCACCCAACTGCCGCTCTTTCAAAGCTATGGGCAACAGTTCGCGGACTCGTCCAGGGCAGACTAGTAGTAGCGGTATCGCAAAGGGTCAGACAAAAGACGTCAAGGAAGTCAACTTATCACGCTCAAACCGATCCAAGCCTTCCAACTCCGCCAGGCACCCGCCTATGAAGAGAGCAAGGACGCCCGTGTTGGGCGGCCACTCCGCAGATACTAGCTCGTCGACGAGTTCAGAAGATATTGCACCGGAAATTGTGGTCTGGACTGGGGACATGGATCTGAAGGATTCAGAGGAGTCGCCCTTTCCAGAAAGCCCACTGCCGACAGATGAGTATGTTACCATGTTTGTTCTTCCTCATCAACTCCATGGCAACCCATGTTCAACTCCCGCTTGCCTTGGATTTCTTCGCTGTCCCTCATCGCTGACTTCCATGTAGCTCTCCACAGTTACCATCACTATCGCAAGCCCCAGAAGGACCAAGTGTCATAGATGCAGACGCTTCGAGCCAGTTTTCATCGCCCTTGTCAGAGCCTCCAGAGTCGTCACCAATTATATCACCTCAAGATGATATCGCGGTGGAGCAAGAAAACCCGATCCCTCAATCCGCAAGTAGCCTATCAGACCAGCATTCGAACTCATCATCCCATGCGCCATCCGTGACGAGCAAGGCCACGACTCCTGTGGATGCGGATAGACCAAAGGAGCCTCCAGCAAGACGACAGTTATCTGAGCCACAGCCTTCTCCGCTAGTATCTCCCTCTCCGGAGCCGCCTGCGGAAGAGCAGCAACCGAAACCCACTATGGAGGAACCTCCTCAACCGGATGAACAACCACAAGCTGAGCTGCAAGAAGAGCCAACAGCTCAACCGGAACGGGTAGCTCGCCTTTCGCCTTTGCCATTGATTGACGAGCCCCCTTCGGCAGCAGTTGAAAGTGCAGCTCCACCTCAGGGCCCAAAGTCACCGATGAACGAGCGGAAGATCAAGCAAGAGTCGCCGGAGGAGGTAGTGCTGGAATCAGCAAGGCAAGCTTCGCTGCCTCAAGATACCGGAACCCTTGATGTATCGATGGAAGAAGCTCCTGGGACGGATGCTGTGGTGCAAGAAGCACCAACGCAAGATGTCCCGATGCTGGAAGCGCCACCCCAAGATACACCGGACCGAGAAGCACCACCAATGGATATAGTCATGGATGAACCTCCCGCTTACGAGTCTCTGTCTCATGAACCTCCGGCAGAAAGGCCTGCGGCACAAAGTGTTTCGACGCTAGATGCTTTAGCACAAGAAAAAACAGCACAAGAAGCTTCGATTCAGGCGACGCCAGTACACGAAGTCCCAGCCCAGCCAACACCAGTACAAGGATCCTTGCCTCAAAACGCAGGGACAAATACGGTGTCCACGGACACACCGAGGCGGCGATACAACGTCCGCCCCAAAGTCACCATACCTCCCGATCTTCCGCTACCGGATTATGCTATGCAATGTATTACGGCCGCGGAGGCTTCGAGACTCAACCCATATGCTTTGCACCAGGAGGAATATCTCATGCTTAGAGACCATATCAGCCACGCCCAAGTAACAACGTACCTGAATATCAGGAACGGTATTCTAAGGTTATGGGTAAGGAATCCTCAAATAGCTGTTACTCGAGAGGAAGCTGTTGGGTGTGCCAAAGACACTCGCTGGTTCGATGCCGCTAGCCTATGTTTCGATTGGCTTGTTCGTCGGGGGTATATCAACTTTGGGTGCGTAGATTATCGCCATTCAAAGAGGCATACTTCCAAAGACCCACCGGCTACAACCCTCAAGCAAAGAACGGTCGCTGTTTTAGGGGCAGGTATGGCTGGATTGGGCTGCGCGAGACAGCTTGAGGGACTATTTGCGCAATATGCAAAGAAGTTCAGAGACATGGGTGAAGAGCCTCCGCGAGTAATTGTAATCGAAGGCCGGAACCGAATAGGCGGCAGGGTTTACTCTCGTCCTTTTGCGTCTAAACCTGCACGAACCCCGGATAATTTCCACGGGAAGCGATTTACCGCAGAGATGGGAGGTATGATCATTACGGGATTTGAACGCGGCAATCCCATCAATATCCTGCTCAGGGCACAGCTCGGAATTCCATACAGGCCGTTGCGACCAGACACCACTCTATACGACTCGAACGGCAGGCCCGTAGATTTACACCGAGATCAGCTGGTCGAGAATCTGTACAATGACTGCCTTGATCGGGTCAGCGAATACAAGTTTAAGCAGCCCACCTCGAAGCTGATTGAGGGTAATAGGGAATTGATTGACGAGGGCAAGGATAGCTCCGCAGAGGCCTACAAAACTATAAGGCAGGTAGAAGAATCAACTGCCGCTCAGCCGCATGCGCCGCCTGTGTCGGAGCAGAGCATAGCACCACAGGTGAATCTTGTGCCAATCTCATCAGACCGTGCTACAGGTCGCGTTCACACGGAGCCTGGCACGCCAGGCGCACTCAAAGCAGCATACAAGGCGAAACTTTTGGGGTGGGCCTTGAAGCAGGGTGTCTCAGAAGATGCCGACCTCGACCTCGAGACACCGGCCAAAGAGCCTGGTGCCAACCTCGGGAGCGTTGTCGACAACATGATAGCTCAGTACAGAGATATTGTGGACTTGACTGCACAAGACTACCGGCTCCTGAACTGGCACGTCGCCAACCTGGAGTATAGCAATGCCATTAACTACAACAAATTAAGTCTCCAGGGATGGGACATTGATGCCGGTAACGAATGGGAAGGAAGTCACACCATGGTCATCGGCGGCTATCAGAGCGTACCGAAGGGCCTTATGCTCCTACCCACGCCGCTCGACGTTCGACGAAAGTCACCCGTTAACAAAATCACATATACCACAGAAAGCACGGCAGGGCCAGCAGTAATCGAGTGCGAAGATGGATTCACGGTGGAAGCTGACTTCGTAGTCAACACGATACCTCTGGGCGTGCTCAAGCATGGTAATATCAAGTTTGAACCACCGCTGCCGGAATGGAAGTCTAGTGCCATCGAACGTATAGGCTTTGGTGTTCTCAACAAAGTCATCCTCGTGTACAAGGAGGCATTCTGGGATGAGGATCGCGACATCTTCGGTGTCCTAAGAAACCCATCTAACCGGCACAGCCTGGATCAGAAGGATTACTCCTCACAAAGGGGTCGTTTCTTCCAGTGGTTTAATGTAACCCAAACCAGCGGCTTACCAGTCCTGCTAGCTCTTATGGCTGGCGACGCCGGCTACGACACCGAACAAACCTGCAACGACGATCTCGTCAAAGAAGCAACCGACGTCCTCCGCCGCGTCTATGGGTCAAAGGTCCAACAGCCGATCGAGGCCATCGTAACCAGATGGGCATCGGACAAGTTCGCGCGCGGAAGCTACTCCTCCGCGGGTCCCGACATGAAAGCGGATGACTACGACACCATGGCCAAGCCCGTCGGCAACCTCTTTTTCGCGGGCGAGCATACATGCGGCACCCACCCAGCCACAGTCCACGGCGCCTACCTCTCCGGTCTCCGTGCCGCCTCCGAGGTCCTCGAGGCGATGCTCGGCCCCATCGAGATACCCACGCTACTCATCACCCCCAAGGAATCATCCTCCCTATCCCTCAAGCGCAAAGCCGCAGCTCTGACATCCGAATTCACCACTACCACCGTCACGAACAGCTACGGCACCATGTCCTCCACCCGTAACCCCGAACAAGCCCGCCTCGAAGCCTACGACATCTCCCTCTGGGACTCCATCACCTCGCAAATTGGCTTGCGCCCCCCGAAACCCTCCAAACCCGTCGTATCAGGTTACATCTTCTTCAGCAAAGCGCACTACGACGACGCGCGCAAGCGGTGCGAAGCCGGTCGCAGACCGGGGAAGGGCAAAGCAAGCGGTAACGAGGTCAGGATGATGAGTGCCAAGATGTGGAAGGATGCTTCACCAGAAGAAAAGAGACCGTTTGAGGAACTGGCGGAGGAAAGCAAGCGTGCATATGCGGTGGCGATGAAGGAGTGGACTGAGAAAGCACAGGAGTGGGATCGCAAAGCGACGGAGTTGAAGGAGGTTTACGAGAGGGAGAATCCGTATGTGCCGTTGAGTGCGCTGGTTGTTAAAAGTGAGGAGGGGGTTGCTGCTGCTGCTAGCGTTTCTAGTGGCAGTAATGGGAGGAATGGGAGGAGGGCAAGGTGGGCGGGTGAGAAGGTGGGGAGTTATGCGGAGGATGGGGGGAGTGATGTTGATGTTGCGATGACTGGGTGAGGTTAAGACGTTATCAAGTGAGTGGGTGAGTGAGCGGGTCAAGAAGTCAAGGGAGGTGAGACTGGAAAAATGGATTGAGGGGGAAGGAATACGCAAGACGATCGACCGGTGCTGTGGTTTTTTCGGTTATCTTTTTTTTATTTTGTTATAAAAAAAAGTGACCTTATCAGGCATTTAGCAACGCATGAAAGAAGTAGATGGGGAGTCGTTGGTGTGGTGATAACTTGAACCAAGCCTAGGCGCTAGAATAGATCAAAGAAGGAGTACGTTCTTCATATCTTTATTCCCACCTCCACTTTCACACACACACACACACACACACACATACACAGTAACTCTTTGTTCCACTCTTTATTATTATCCCAATGGCATAGATGCAAACGTCACATATACTAAAACCAAGCGGGGAAGTGAGTACCAAACTTCACAACAAATGAAGCAGCCAGTCCTTTTAACCGTTGAACATCGGGAAAGGATTGTAAACTTCCATCCCATCTCCCATGCTCTTCACACATTCAGTCTCATCAAGCGCCCCCAAACAAGCGACGGCGGCGCGGAATGGAGGCGGGATAAGACAGGATGATATTGGAAACACAAGCAACTCACAGATATACGAACCCATCGAGATGTGAGCCCCACCCCTTATCACCCATCTGCGGCTTTTATCAAAGTTGGCCGCCGGCGTAGTCAGGTTGCTTACTGAGAATTTACCAACGAATGTGTACTGAGCGACATTGTCATGCATCTGACAAGCGGTCATCCCAGCTGAGATTTGTTGAGTGGACTGAAACTACAACGGCTATTTCCTCGAGGCTTACTAACCACGGAGTAGGCAGGTGTGTAAAAGAAGTTGTACAATTTATGGACTGAAGGCGTTGGTACAGTAATGAGAAGGCTAGCTCATTTGATTGGTACAAAGGAAGGCATTTGGCACGCAGCTTTTTGGACTAGGACTAGACATATTACACCACGCACACTCGTACACTTTCGACGGCATGGTTGAATGTCAAGTGAGAGTGCAGACAGGGATGATGGATTTCGGCTTTGGACCCTTTTCTTTTGCTCAGGTCCCCTCTCCTTTTCCCTCAATACATCTTCGTCTTCTATTAATAGACTGCGGTTGTTTAGGCTGCTGTTTACATATCGGCCGAAGCGGTGGCACCAGTGATAATTTCGACCAACTCGCCGGTAATGACGGCCTGGCGGGTACGGTTGAAGAGAATCTGGTACTTGCTGATCATCTCGCCGGCGTTCTTGGAAGCGTTCTGGATAAGGGGTAAGAGAATTCACGTCAGCAGCCTGTCCGCTGTCGATTTCAAAGAGGTGACATGGGACGGGAGAACTCACGTCCATGGCGTTGCGACGGGCAGAAATCTCGCAGGCGTGACCCTCGCAGAGAGCCCAGTAGAGGGAGTTGGCGAGGGCGTACTCGCGGAGGTTGCCAAGGACCTCTTCATCAACCTCGAAAGCGGAGAAGTTGGCTGGATATAACTTAGTCAGCTGGCTGATTTGACGGGCATCATGGTGGCCGACAGGACGTACGGGAAGCGAGGATGGCCTCCTCGGAAAATGCCTCAATGACGGTGGGCTCGTAGCTGGTGGCGTTGATGAACTTGTTGTAGACAATCTCAACGGAAGAGTAGTCGCCCTTGAGCTGGGTGATCTGGTCGGCGATGGCAGAGGCTTCGACGAAGGTGGGGATGTCCTTGCCAACACCGGAGAAGTTGAGGACGATGTCCTTGCTGTTGGTACGGGAGAGCTGGGCCTTGGCCTTCTCGCCGATGATGACGATGTCGAACTCAGGCTCGGTGGCGGCGCGGCGACGGATGAAGCGCGCAAGACCCGAGTGGACACCACCGCAGAGACCCTTGTCGGAGGAGCAGACGACGACGAGCTTCTTCTTGCCCTCAGCCTCGAGAGGCTTAGTCTCGGCCGAGGTGAAGACCTCGTTGCTGGTGGCACCGTAGCCGCGGGACTCGGTCATGGCACGCTGGGCGCGGTTGAGCTTGGTCGAGGCAACAATCTTCATGGTGTTGGTGATCTTCTCGATGTTGCGGATCGACTTGAGGCGGGTCTCGATTTCACGGAGAGTCGCGAAGGTGGCCGCGCCGGGAGCAGCCGCTCTGTTGTCATGACCTTCAATCAGTCTGCATGTTCTGTCTCAAGGTTCGATGTGTCGGGGCTATCGCGTGTCCGTTCTCGTTCTCGTGTGTGTATGGGTGTGTGTGTGTCCAACTCCTCTCTCTCCCCACCCAACCCGTTCCCTGCTTGCTTGCTTGTGCTGCCCCTCCATATATCGGACGTCATGTATCGGGGACCTGGCGGCGCAATCGCATTCGTTTCCAAGTCGCACAGAGAGCTGAGAGGCAGACGAAGACCCCGAGAAGCTGTAGTCGGTTGGTGCACGGTGGTTGACGAACAGACGGAGGCGAGATGGCGAGATGTTGGACAGAGACGGACGGAGCACTCTTACGGAAGAAGGACATGTATTTTTTTTTCTTGGGAGAGCACCTACCGGGACGAGACGGCGGCTCCAGCTCTCAGGGCCGGGCGGGCAGCTCTGGACAGCATGTTGAGATGGATATTTGACGAGGGAGAGACCTGCTGGAGAGGAGTGGCCCGGGGTTGACCACTTGATATTCAGGCGGCAATTGATCGTGGGGGAGTGATCAATGAGAATAGGACGCAATTGGCGTGAGAGGTTTGCTGAGATCGGTTCCACACTTTCCGCTCTCTGCTCACTTTCCGGCCGTGCTTTCTTCGTGAGGTGTGGCTCGCCGTAGTGCCGCTGTCCAGTCCCAGTCGGGCGCCTTCGCCTTTTTCCCGGCTAGAGCCTGGCAATGGCTGAGGACTGCTGCCCGGCCATTGGCTTGGTCACTGGCCGCCTGCCAGCTGCGGTGTGCTCCCCACGCAGCACCTCACTCATCTAGTGTACCTACCATGTATGTAGGTGGAAGGCCATCTTGCTGCCGAGTTCTGCCAAGCTTGCTTGCCAGCCATGACAGCTGCCAGAGCTACCATGTGGGTGGGGCACCCGGTCTGGCCCGCACCTGCGATCCTGCACCGCGGCACCAGTTTTACACTTGCAGATGGACAAGCGGTACAACTCACTACACCGGCGGCTTTTCAATTGTGAAATTGAAGGCTGTCTTGAAAAGCTCTTTTTGTTCCGTTCCTGTTGGGCACCGTGCCATCCACCTCACTGAAACCTGCCTACTTAGCATCGATCCGGATGTGAATTTGGGGCTCACTTGAACGAGGAAGTGCCTTGCAAACGGTTGTGTCAAAAGCGTCCACGTCTCAGTGTCCTTAACAGTAAACAACTTGAACCCAAGTCACTCACAGATAAGCAAGCACACGGAAGCTTCACTAGGGTGGAGATCAGACGACGCGGTGTTTTTCCGTTTGAATGAATTAGGTGGTTTATGCCTTCAGCTTTCTGGAGCAATCAGTTTGAGGCTGGGTGATCACGATCCCAGTGGTGCTTAGCGTAGTGTTGTTGGAGCGTCTTGCCACACGCAACTGAGAACTTCCATTCCATAGGTACGTCTACGTACCACACTCACGACACTGACGGCCGGGGGCGCACGCTACTCTAGAAACTGAACGCTCAGACTCAAGGTACCGAGAGCGGGGACGCGCTAAAAAGGTACCGGCCTCTCAAAGTCGACCACCTCAGGGATTTTTGGGGCAGGTGAGGTGCACCGACCCAGGCGAACCAGGGAGAATTGCGGTACAGACTGGACCTGGCGAACATCCCCCTGCGACCGCGACGACGCATCGAAACCTTCCCTTGGCTGGAGTCCCGACTGGAGACTCAGTTCTCACTCACACACCCACTGCACACACCCACTGCACACACCCACAGCACCCATCGATACTTCCACAGCCTGGCGGTCCTGGCAACGACTGCCCAGAAAGAGTTGCAGGGTGGAGCCCAGGATTTATCTTTAACAGCCTCCCGACTGCCCTTGCTCTTCCCGAATTCGTTCATGCTGCCCTCCGCCTTCGCTTTTTCCCTTCACTTCTTCTCCCTCACCTTGCGCCATTCTGGTTCTCTCCACCCTCCAGGCTCTCCACATCCTCTCTTTTTTTTTTTTTTTCACACACTCGTTCCATCGACCGGCCATCTCGATATCTCGCGCACCCAAGACCTTGACGAGTCCCCGAGACCCTCGCTTTCCAGCCTTGGTCACCAAGTGACTTGTACCAAGACTCTGTCCACGGTCAAAGGTGTAAGCGGTCACCTCCAGCGGCGAATTTCTTTCTCTCCACGTCTGCCTTCCTAGCGACGACCGACGACAACATTTTCGACTCGGTTGCCCTGCAGACATCTTGCTAGCAACCCTTCGCCACTGTTTAGCGGCCGCTACCTCTACTGGTCGGCTTTTGCGCCCTTACACATTCGTACGTACCTACCAGTGCCGACACCGCAACACGCTCTAGCAACCATGTCTTCGGGCTCTGAAGACGACAAGCCGCTCGCCAAGGTCAACGGCCACGGTACGTCAATGCTTCTGTGATCAGTCACACCTTTCCCCATCAACCCTCGTTCATCTCACTCTATCCTCTGCCCCGTCACACGGTTTGCCAGCCGATTTGAGTCAACGTGTCATGCCTTCCATGGGCTCGTCTAGATGCAACCTGTCATTGTACCACGCCCATGAGACTAATCTTTTCTCTTCAACTATAGCCTCGGCGCCGACCATCTCCAAGGCCGATGATCGTGCCATGGACGCTGCTGATTCCAAGGTTCATATGGCTCCCGTTGGTGTTTCCATCCGTAATGGCCCCGTCGACCAGGACAGGATGGACATCGACTCCTCAGTAATCGGTCAGGCTAAGCGCAAATCGCGGGCATCCATTGACCAGTCCATCAACTATAAGGATGACTCCAGTGATGACGAAGCACCCTTGGTAAGTTTTTCCCTGTCTTTCCAGCTTAGTATCCTTGCTTGGTCTGTGGCTGACCAGAACAGGCGAAACGTTCAAAAACACAACATAAGCAACCAGACTCCGATAGCGACGACGAGCCGATTGCGAAAAAAAATGGCGCGAGATTGCCTCCCTCCGCCAAGAATACGGATATGGACGTAGATTCTGATGACGACGAACCTCTCGGAAAGATCGCCGCGAAGAAGGCCAATATCGAGAAGGAAGCCGCTAAGGAAGCCAAAATTATTCGTGCTGGTACCAAGGCCAAGAAGCCTGCTGCTAAGAAGGCCGTCAAGGATGAATCCTCCGATGATGAACCCCTTGCGAAACCCACCAAGCGACAGGTCAACGGCACAGCTGCGAAGAAGACGAATGGTGTGAAGAAGGAAGAGTCTGACTCGGATGTGCCCATCGCTAAGCGGGCGAAGAAGGCACCTGCCGCAAAGCCTGCTGCAAAGCCTGCTGCAAAGGCTGCCACGAAGGCCGCCCCGAAGGGCAAGGTTGCCGCTGTCAAGAAGTCCGTCAAGGAGGAATCGAAGGACATCACCGATGAGGACGATGAGGAAGAGGAGTATAAGTGGTGGGAGGAGTCGGCAAAGAAGGAAGATGACAGTATCAAGTGGACCACCTTGGAACACAACGGTGTCATCTTCCCCGAGGATTACCAGCGTTTGCCCAAGGACGTCAAACTGCTCTACGATGGAACGCCGGTCGAACTCGATATCGAGGCCGAGGAAGCTGCGACCTTTTTCGGCTTCATGCTTAACTCGACGGTGAATGTTGAGAACCCAACTTTCCAGAAGAACTTCTTCAGGGACTTCAAGGAGATCCTAGATCGGACAGGTGGCGCCAAGGACAAGAATGGCAAAAAGGTTGACATCAAGGAATTCGAAAAACTCGACTTCTCCCAGTTGTGGGCTTACAAAGATGCTCAAACGAAGGCTAAGAATGCCCGGTCGTCAGCAGAGAAGAAGGCCGAGAAAGCCGAAAGAGACAAGAGGGACGCCCCCTATCTATATTGCAAGTGGGATGGGCGAAAAGAAAAGGTTGGTAACCCCAGAGTGGAAATCCCAGGACTTTTCCGCGGTCGCGGTGATCACCCCAAGACCGGGTGTATCAAGAAGCGTGTTTTGCCAGAGCAAATTACCATCAACATCGGCAAAGAGGCCAAGGTCCCAGAGCCGCCAGCTGGCCACAAGTGGAAGGCCGTTCAACATGACAACAAGGCAACTTGGCTCGCGATGTGGCAAGAGAACATCAACGGGCACTACAAGTATGTGATGTTGGCAGCAAACAGTACGGTGAAGGGCAAGGCCGATTTCAAGAAGTTCGAAAAGGCCCGTGAGCTCAAGAAGTACATTGATCGCATCCGTGCCGATTATACCAAGGACCTCAAGAGCGAGGTCATGGCTGACAGGCAACGCGCAACGGCCATGTACCTCATTGACAAGTTCGCTCTCAGAGCCGGTAACGAAAAGGATACCGAGAACGAGGCCGAGACTGTCGGTTGCTGCTCTCTCAAGTACGAGCACGTCACCCTCAGGGAGCCCAACACTGTCATTTTCGACTTCTTGGGCAAGGACAGTATTCGTTTCTACAACGAGTTCACGGTCGATCGCCAGGTCTTCAAGAACCTCAAAATGTTCAAGAAGCCTCCCAAGGAGGACGGAGATGACATATTTGACAGACTGACGGTAGGTTTAATTTTACCTACTTTACAAGATTGGAGGTTTGCTAACGCGCTGTGCAGACAACCCAACTCAACAAGCACTTGTCGAGCTACATGCCTGGGCTCACGGCAAAGGTCTTCCGTACTTACAACGCATCGTACACCATGTCCAAGCTGCTGCAGGAGCTCAAGGTGACGAATGCCACGGTACATGAAAAGGTCAAGCTCTACAATGACTGCAACCGCCAAGTTGCTATTCTCTGCAACCACAAGCGTACTGTCGGTGCTAGCCATGAACAGCAAATGAAGAAACTTGTCGAGCAGATCAAGGGTTTGCGATACCAGAAGTGGCGGACAAAGATGATGATGCTCGACCTTGACCCCAAGCTTAAGAAGAAGAAGGGTGCTGCCTACTTCGAGCTTGATGAGGACTTGACAGAGGAGTGGGTCAAGTCTCATCAGGAGTTCCTTGTTGAGGACCAGAAGGCCAAGATCAACAAGAAGTTCGAAAAGGACAATGAGAAGCGGATAGCCGATGGCGAGAAGCCTCTGCCTGCCAGCGAGCTTAAGGAGCGACTCAAGGCGGCATCCGAGCTAGAAGCCAAGTTCAAGAAGGAGAACAAGACCAAGAAGGTCGAGGCTGAAGGCAAGGGTCCTTCTGTCGAGAAGCTGGAGGCAGCTCTTTTGAAGCTTGATCAACGTATCAAGACCCTGGAGCTCCAGTCCGCGGATCGTGAAGGAAACAAAGAGGTTGCTCTTGGCACCTCCAAAATTGTAAGTTGAATGGGCTTCTCATCAACATGCATAGTAGGATGCTAACTCTCTATCACAGAACTACATTGATCCCCGTCTTACGGTCGTCTTCTCGGCCAAGTTTAATGTGCCTATCGAGAAGTTCTTCTCCAAGACGTTGCGCGAAAAGTTCAAGTGGGCTATCGAGTCTGTCGGAAACGACTCGACGTGGGAGTTCTGAGGTTGGCCAAGCATCGTCGTTCGAATTCTGAAAAGTCATTCAAACAAGCCATTTCTATAGACAACAACATGAATGTTCACGTTGTTATTATGCGCCTTTCACCCAATCATACACGGAATAGCCTTGATAGACCCTTTGGTGAATCGTCATACTATTTTCACTTGGGACATCGTGGATTTCGTTAGAAAGCTTGCTGGACGCAGATGCCAGAATTACAAAAGCAAGCGAAGCGAAGGTTGCACGCTGTCTCTAAATGGTTGTAGACATGAGGGAGGCAATTTGCTTGTCCTTTGATGAGTTATATGGGATTTCCAACCGCACTGCGCATAGTTTGCTCTCGGAAGATGGAGTTACGGAGGCCGGTGTCTTCTGATACCAAAAATGAACCATCGTTAACAGTGAATAAGATCGACCACCGTCATCGTCAGGTATCACGCGCACGTCTGTTGGCGAGATTAGAAACCACTAGAGGTAGGGAGATAATGGTATGTGCAGATACAAGATGAGACAAAGATGCCAGAAAGCGATTGCGTACGTGCCCAAGCAAAAGGAATCTACCGTTTGAATGCTTGTGAAATTGTCCAACTGGCGCGTGTGTGAGGTGTCTATCGTGCTGTAAGTACAAGATTACCCATACCATATAGGTACATCATCATTTTCCCCCATCAATCATATACATTTAATACTGACGTCGCCGATACATATCAGATCTCCATCAAGCCAGAATCCTCTAAGTAAACGCCGTATGAGGTAAAACGCCCAAAACCAAATTCATCTTGACGCCTGCAAATGCATCGTGCTGCTGACTCGTACGCCTCCGACCTCCAAGGGAGAAGAAGACCCAGACGATAATCGAGCAACGCAAAGACTGTATGTTGTCATGCCACTCAAGATTTAATCTCAAGCCAAACACCCAACAAAGGCAGCAAGAGCCACCGTCACAAGCGACGTAGCAACCAGCAAGCCCTGCGGCGGCCTCGCCATTGCGCTCGCCGCGCCAACAGGCACTATCTTCCCATCTGGTTTCATAACCCAGCCCTCAGGAATCGACCCATGGGTGCTGCTGCCGCTGCCGCCATTAGAACCTGACGCGTCCCCACTGGCCGACCCGATGCCGCCCACGGGCACCGAGCCGCCCGCCGACCCCGTGTTCGTCGCCGCCACCGCGCTAGCCGTCACCGTAACCGTGCCGGCTTTGCCCAAGTTCCCGTTCACCTTGCCGCCCTCGGCAATGATGCTCTGCCACGTGCCGCTCGTGTCGCCGTACCGGTACGACTTGCCCGTCGAGTAATCGCTAACCATGACGCTCTTGACCGTCATGCTGAAGGGCCCCTGGCTATAATCCGTCGGGCCGTGGGCCCACTGGATGGTCCCCGGTGAGTTGGCGCTATCGCCCCCGGACCAGGCGCCGAATTTCACCTGCATGGGACTCTGCGGGTACTCGCCGCCCGCATCATTGACGGTCAGGACCCGCACAAGAGTGCCGCCCACGTACCACGAGATTTTTTCCGAAGTCCAGTCGATTGTGTACTTGATGAACTGACCCTGGCTGTTGTGGGCCGGGTTGTACTGTCCCCGGTCGTAGGTGGCGGTTTTTCCTTGGAAAAAGAAGTTGGTTTGCACGTATGTGTTGTCGTCGCCCAGCCACTCAAAGTCGATCTCGTCAAGGTCATCGGATTGGAGGACCACGGAAGAGACGATGCCGGCGCCGGGGGCCGCCTTCATGGTTATTTCGACCCGCCCAAACATAATGTAAAAGATGGAGGTTAGCTGCGGGGAGTCGCCGGATTTGGCGACGGTGAAGGAGACTCCGTCGTTTCTTGAGTAGGAGGGGGTGCCGCCGTAGGGGTTAAAGGAGTTGACAGCGCCTTGGGTGAAGTCGACATCGATGGCCATGCCGAGGGCGGTGTTTGGAGGACAATCGGCTAGGGGGCGGTTAGTGTTAGGCATGTCTTTCTTTTTGGCTATGTAAGTCTGAGATGAAAATGGCTTGAGGAACATACTTCGCTGTGTTGGGTTACATGCTGTCCAAGTTTGTGCGGAAGCTACACTTGCGAAAGCAGCTGCCGCTGTTGTCACCGCTGTTCGCCAACTTAGGGACACCATGGTTATTGTTTCGCGATCCCAGGTCTTGTGGTGACACAGGGGAACTAGAAAGAATTATTTCAGAGTTTTGGGTTGAAGAGGCAACCAATGTTTGGGTTTTTTTTTTTTTTTTTTTTTTTTTTTTTTTTTTTTTTTTTTTTCCTGGTCTTCGAAGTTTCGTCGGTGTTCTCGATCGCGGGGTGAGTTGGTAGGACGAATTTGTGTGAGCGGTAATGAGATGGTGGAGAACTCAAAGCCGAAGCAGCGGTCACAAGTCCGAACGGTTTTCGGGATTGATGGGTAACAACAGCAAGTCTGAGTATAAATTGACAGACTTGCTGGTGTATGACGACAGATGGGACGACTGTTCAACGAGTGATGATAATCAACGGTCCCATAAGTGGGAGTAGTTTCGTTATGTGTATAAACAGGAAAAGAAGGGTCGCGGGATTTTGCATGACACTTGCCCTGTTCCCGGGCTTTCAATGGGATCAAATCAGGGTATCATCGAATGCAACTATAATGCGTAAACGCGCGTGGTGGAAAAAGAAAAAGAAGGCCGGGAATGCAGAACTCTAAAATCACACTCTCCGATCACATCGATCCTTGTGGGAGGAGGCCTGGTCAGACTGGTTGAACGAGACGGCCTTGGTCTTGTCCCAGCCTCTCACAAGTCACCAACCTGCCAGAATCGGCATCGTGGACTCCCCACCATCAGCTCTCTTTGAGTGCCTGGGCTTGAAGCGACGGAGCCTGTTTTTTCAAGGGACCGCTGGGACTTTCAACTGAGAGCGCCATCAGATAACAACATTCTGGCTGTTTGCACAAGTTTAGTCACGTTTCGCGTGGTCAGAAATTCCTTCATGAAATAATATAGGAATGTTTGCTTTTGATCTTTACGTATATCAGGATTTAGAATTTCCTTTCTTTTTTCTTCTTTTTTTTTTTTTAACTCCTTCTTCTTGAAAGGGGGGAAGAGGATGGGGGTGTTTAGGGAGGTACATGCAAACGCTGCCGCTTGTGCTGTTGCACTGAGATTGGATAGGTATTCCACACTGCCACCGCTGCCATCATTGACCAGTGAATCGGGTGGTTGGGAGTGGGTTTTGCTGATGTGTGATGGGCCCGCCAAATCCCGCGCGTGGAAAGGTTTCGGTGGTTCTGGCTTCATTGTGGCTCAGAATCCTCGGCGCCGCTTCTCCGTTAATGCTCCACTTTTCCGTAGGCTGTCTGGTCTTCCGTTGGGCGGGTTACTCCCGTTGCGCTCCACTTCGGACGGAGTCTCACGTTGCCTCGACACCGCATTGTTGACTTTTGTCGTGATGGGGAAAGTGCAAAAAAGGGGGCAAGTCATCGCGAGTGATGAAGGCACTGCTTACATTTCCCCTGAACAATGTCAAGCACTCCTTACATGGGTACTTGCATGCATTGAGGTGGTTCCTTCTTAACAATGATCGAATAGACCAGAGCGCGGTCTTCAGTTGTTCCCCGCAATCGATTTGTTGAACTCTGTTCATCTTTCTTTCGACTCTTCGAATCACAGCTGCTTTAGTCTCGTTCTTCGCTAGTCACTTCTTCACTTCAGTTTTTGAAATGCCGACCAGGGCCTTCCGAGGACTTGGTTTCTCGTCTTTACTCTGCTGTCTTTCATCAACATGCGAATGGTAAATACATGGCCCCTTCTTGATCATCTGCTCAATGTTTTCTCTCGTCCATGTCTGAACTTCGATGCTGACAGCTGTGTTTTCCAGAAAAAAATTCAAGTCGAGGTAATAAAAATGTCCTCTTTCTTTGTTGCTGGCCAAAGACGTAACCGTTGAAGCCGCGTCGCTTGCTCGTCCGAGCAGCACTGAGTGCTTTCAAGACAACTAACACGGCCTCCACGAGGCAAAAAATTGCAATTAAGCGCGGTTGATCGAATGGACTACCGCCATGGGTAGGTATATCATGCAGTTCAACGTATCTGGTTGGAGTCTCTCCTCGTATCCTGGACTCGGTGCAACACACTTCCACCTTCTATAAGGATGCGGCGAAATTTAGGCAAACGAACAACTGGAACGGATCCTTCTTCTACCGGCGATGAATAAATGGCGAGACACGCAGCCGTACACCACACATGACTAAAACATCACCCCGTTCGAAGGAGATACGCGGACGCCTTTCCAATTTCTTTCCCCAAGACTATTTAGGTGGTCTACAAACAGTATGTCAACAAGATGATCGACATTCGAAGACGGATGGTCATTTACCCTTTCATGGTCGAACGAATCGTCGTGGGAAGTATACCGCTATATCACGGCCCCGGGACATCTCGACAAAATTGGATCTCCAGCTTCATGTAGCAGCTTGCTCCGGCACCTCCCTGGACTGGTATCGAAAGGGGCAGGTTCGGAAATTAATCGCCTCGATTAAAGGTTTGAATGATGAGTGGTTGCAAGGAAGCTGACGGCTGGCTATCGCATGAGAGAGAATTCAGATACTGCCATCGGCTCAAGGATTCGCGTACCCTCATCATGGCATTCCTATGGATTAATGTTCCCCGTATTCTGATCTCCTCCTCTTTTCAGCTTTCAGCTTGCCTAAAGAGCCAGATGTCACCGGATGCCTGGGCGGTTACATATTACCTTGACACCCAACCAGAAAATCTCTTTTCCGTCAACCACAAATTATACCGAAGCACTGGATTCTGCGCGTGGATGGCCTCCGAGGATCCAAGCAGGACTATCCTTACATCCCGAGTCGACGCGGAAGTTTTCTTCCAAATAACCTTGGAATTCGGACGAAGCCAAAAAGATTGCATCCTCAGCTTATCATCCTGCAACAACTTAAGGTTACGTCCTGCCATCGAGTCATTTCTTTAGCTTGGTCGAAGAAACTATTGCCAATCGCATAATAGCATGTTCGAAGCTTCGCAACAAGATATGCGGACGGAGGTGCGGTGGGCTGGTGTTGTCTCGCAAGGGCTCTCACACAAGCATATGACTGCAGTGCACAAAAGGGGAGCATTTCTCTGCTGTGGCGTTTGATACAAGAGTAGGAAGATGAAAGCATGTAGAAAAGGTCTTTATTATCACATTTTGTGGTAACGATTGAGATATCTGGTGTCGGTGTGGTGATACAGATACTGGTGGAATGTACGGTTGACAACAGACTTAAGCTGCACTTAAGATTACCTAGTCTATGTACGAGCGACGAGTCTGGGCGGTATCTAATAGCGGCATGTACATACACGTGTACCTACCACGATTTGGCCACACCGCATGTGCACACAGGGTCGAGTCGATTTTCTGTTACGTACAGCCACCGAAGTTTATTCCTCAGCTTGAATGCTTCGAGGTCACTTGATGTCGAAATTCTTTGCGATCCCGGCAGGATCGCAACTTCGATAGACCCCTCAAAGTTTCTCAGAGCCACTCCACTTCAAGCCCCTGTTTGCCTTTGGGTAACAGCGGCTAACAGCGGAGATGTCCCTCCTCCCGCTTTCGGCTCATGGTTATCTTCCAATATTGTCAATCCACTTCAAAGATCGAGTCATCTTTTCTGTGACTCCATCTACAACAGTCATATGAAACCGGAGTATTTAACTATCAGCCCCCTCACATTTTGAATTGTATTCTGCACTGAACATCAATCACATAAGCTTTGCGGAGCAAGCACACGGACCCCGGCCGACATCGCGGAGTTCAACCCATCCGTTCCCCGAATTCACCAACACTACACCCGGCCACAATGCGGGAAGCGCTCATCAACGGCTCCGGCGCCGCCTCCAACGATGTCAGTGCTTTGGAAACGCTTGGTCCCGCAGCCAAGCTAACGGACGCCGACCCTTCTGAGATCCCACCTGCATCAGGCCCCAGCCGGGAGAATGCAGTCACCATCAGCGACATCCTCGAGAGACGTGCCAAAGCCGGCAGACTCATTGCACCGACCGCTTCGTACTCGGATAGCGACATGTTTAAGGGTCCGGTAAGTCAATGGACCCTACCCTAAACCCTGCTCCTATCTTATCTTATTCTCATCCACCGTAGCAAGTAGGAAAACCCAAATCCAAGTCTATGAACCGTAAGTTTCCTCCTCTTAAGCCCAGTACATCTGGTCAAGACATTTAAAATTCTTACAACCCCTTAGATCACCTCTCCTCCGAATCCCTTTCCCGCCACCCCTGTGCCCTCAAACAAGCCGCCCGCCACCTCAAAAACCCCGGCATCATCTCCCTCGGCGGCGGCCTTCCCTGCGCCGAGTACTTCCCCATCGAGTCCATCACCCTCAAGGTACCCACACCGCCTCACTTCTCCGAAGCCGCCACGTCCCAGTCCGGGGCCGAAGTCCGCATCGGCAAGTACGACACCACCGACCCTTCCATCCAGGGCACCTACGACCTGGCCATTGCGCTCAACTACGCACAAGCCTCCGGCTCCGCCCAGCTGTTGCGGTTCGTCACTGAGCACACTGAATTGGTCCACAACCCGCCTTACAGTGACTGGCGGACCTGCCTGACGATAGGCAGCACGGGTGCTCTGGAGCAGACTCTTCGCATGCTCTGTGACGGGCCGGGGCGGCGTGATTGTCTTTTGACGGAGGAGTATTCTTTCTCCACGGCTCTGGAGACGGCGGGGCCGTTGGGATTGAAGGTGGTGGGTGTCAAGATGGATGGGCAAGGGTTGTTGCCGGAAGCGATGGATGAGCTTTTGTCGAACTGGAATCCGGAAGAGAGAGAGGGCAGGAGAAAGCCGCATGTGCTGTACACGGTGCCGAGCGGACAGAATCCCACGGGCACCACGCAGGGGTTGGAGAGGAGGAAGCAGGTGTATGAGGTGGCGAGGAAGCATGATTTGTTTGTGATTGAGGATGAGCCGTATTATTATCTTCAGATGCCGTTGGAGGAGTCCAAGGAGACGGGGTCGGGGACCACGGCTGCGAAAGAGGGTGAGGGCGAGGGCAAGGAGGAGGAGACAGTGGAATCCTTCATGTCCTCACTCATTCCCTCCCTCTTGTCCCTGGATGTCGACGGCCGCGTCCTGCGCATGGATTCCTTCTCCAAGGTGGTCGTTCCGGGGTCGCGTGTCGGGTGGGTGACGGCCTCGGAGAATATCATCGAGCAGTACCTCCGGCACGCCGAGGTGTGCAACCAAGGCGCCAACGGTATCTCGCAGGTGATCCTGTACAAGCTGCTGGACGAGCAATGGGGACATGAGGGGTACTTTCAGTGGTTGATGAATCTGAGGCGGGAGTATACCAAGCGGAGGGATACCATGGTGACGGCGGCTGAGAAGTTCTTGCCCAAGGAGGTGGTGAGCTGGACTGTGCCTGTTGCCGGCATGTTTGTAAGTTTTCTGGCTTGGTTTTCGACCCCTACCTATGGTGGTGAACTTGGATATCAGCATGAACGATACTAACATGACGTTCTGTAGTACTGGCTCAAGATCGACCACTCCCAGCACCCCGGTATTCAGGCTGGAAAAGGCATTTTGGAAGTTGAAGAGGAGATCTTCAATTCCTGCATCGCCAGGGGCGTTCTGGTTGCTCGAGGATCTTGGTTCCGCGCTGAACAAGATACAGAGCCGAACGAGCTCTTCTTCCGCGCGACGTTTGCGGCAGCAACGGCCGAGAACATGACAGAGGCAATTAGAAGGTTTGGAGAGGCCATCAGAGAGAGCTTCAAGTTGTGATCAATTTCATGGTTGGCTATTGATGGAACATGATATTTTGGTGCACAGCGGTCCTTTTGGATATGGGTACGACATTGACATACAGCAAGTTTACAAGAACTGGCAGCCAACATAAATGGAGTAGCGAAACGTTGTACTTGATGAGAAGTACCAGTGGTATTATGAGCAGAGAGACAAACCGCCTAAACCGGGGATGCGAAAGTCTTACGTCGCAGGTAGGTATATACAATGCTACTGGTTCAAACAAGTCATTCCCGCTTCGCCTCAAAGAACGCGACCTTGACTCCATCGCCAGGCATCAAGACAATATCAGTCTTCATCCTCGGCTTGCCTCTATCAATTTCATCCATGTAGCTCACCACCCGGTCGTACCGTTGGAACAGTCGCGTCAGCACATATCCCATCTCGGTAAGGGCGAATTGCTGGCCAATGCAGATACGCGGGCCTCCGTTGAACGGGATATACTGCCACGGCTTAGGCTGCCAGTGGAACCAGCGGTCTGGAGAGAACATCTCAACATCTGGGAATTTCTCGCTGACGGGAGGGTACAGATCGGGTCGGCGCTGCATGGCAAGAGGGCTATAACCGACGGGTGTATTCTTGAGAATAGCGATTGGCTGAGAGCCATCAGGACCACCGCCACGGGGGAGAGTAGTGTCCTTGAGGGCCATCCGTACACTGTACACAATGAAAAAAGTTAGGAAACAATCATCTTGTGAAGAAAGAGGTTTCGGAGACTTGCTTGAAAGGGACTACGGGGTACAGCCGCAAGGTCTCGTTCATGACATTCTGAAGGTACTTCATGCTCTTGAGATCATCATATGTGGGAGCGCGGTCAGGTCCGACGACGGAAAGGATTTCGGCGCGTAGCTTCGCCACAGCTTCGGGATGGCGGGCGAGCTCATAAATTGTCCATGAGAGGGTGCAAGCTGTTGTGTCACGTCCGGCAAGGAGAACGGCCATCAGCTGGTCGTGCAACACTTGGCGGTCTTTGGTGAAACCAGCAAGGGCATGGAGAAAAGTGTAGCCCTCGTCTCCCTTGGACTTGCTCGCGAGCTCCTCCTCATCAAGTCGAAGGGCGCGATCAATGTAGAAGTTGATAGTCTCGTCGATGACTTTCAATCCTTCCCAAAAAGTCTTTCTCGGCACAAAACGGTTGAGAGGTCCGGCCCTGGCGATGACGATCTGTACCCGTTGTACCTCCTGGAACGCGTCGGCAAAAGGTTGTACAGGGGTGCTGTTTTCTGTCAGTAGCCTAACATATAGGGAAAGAGGCATTGGGTAGGACAAACCTCAACGACTTGATATCTTTGCCAAGGAGGAAATCGGTGGCGGCATCCAAAGTGTAACGAAAGAAGAGATCGCTGATATCGACCGGCTTTCCATTACCAGCTTCCATATCGACCATCTGATCCTCACCATCTAGGGCTCCTCCATTGGCGATTGTGCGAAAAAGCATTTGCACATGATTTTCAAAGCATTGCAAGTCACTGACACGGTTCTTGATGAATTGGGGACGGATTAGTTGACGGCTGGCATGCCAAAGATCGCCATCGGTCGTGAAGATGCTGTCACCCAAGAAATCCTTCCACTCCTGATGGAAGCCTTCGCCCTTGCCGTAGTCTTCAAACTGGGTGGCTAGAATGGCCTTGATGTTTTCCGGCTCCGAGGTAAAGATGATTCGATGACCAACAAGCCTAACCTCGCCAGTGTATCCACCAATACTTCTGAACATCTGCTGCCAAAACTGGAGGTTTTTGTGCTCAGCTGCCATCTTTAGGGTGGTCCTGATGAACTTGATGCCTTTATAATGGTTAGTATGGTCTGATCTTTGTTGGAGGATGCCAGAGGGGTAGCTCACCAAAAAGTCCACTGTCGCGGATCTTGGGAGGCCGCAAACCCATTCTGGCGATTCTGAAATTCTGCCATACTACCTGCAAGTATCTAAAGACTATCAAGCCGAGAAGCACCCCTCCAAATATGATCGGGGTATTCTTCAAGGAGAGGTTCCCAGCGACGTCTTCGACTAGGCCCATTGTGACGGTGCTAATGGTATGTGAGCAAGCTCAAAAGCCTCCCTCGGCCTTGGAAGTTCTGGGAAGACTTGGCTCACAGCTTCAGTGAGGTGAAGTCAAAGGTATGATAGGAAGGTGGAGAGTATATTGCCGAAGGATGAATAGAAATGGACAAGATCATGGGCTTGCCCGATGTTGATTGGGGAGTAGGACAGATAACATAGAAAGAGAAGAGTACGAAAAAAAGAGGAGGGGCATCAAAACGTAGTGATCTCTGTCGTAGGCGGGGATACATACTCTGCAGCCATGCAGGAGCCCACCATCCTAGCCGGACACTAGTTCTAGGTACAAAGGTGGCAGGCCGGAGTTGAACGGGACAACAATAGTGAATACGGGACACGAGAGGAAGCAAGTCTTTGAAACATAGGACCTGTCTACTCGTCAGGTCTACAAAGCAAAACTGGCCGTCTGACTAGTGGCGGGCCGACGAGTAGTACCCCAGGTTCGGATATTATCCAAACCCGCCAACGTGATGTTCCCGTTGAGTCTGAGACAATTTTCTGCGTATTGTGGACGAAAGCGTACTGGACGGAATGATCCCTAAGTCCGCCTCCGTCACCCTGGTAGAATCTCCTCATAGCCATGCTGTCAAGTCATTAACAGGAGCTGTCGAGCAAGAAAGAATGACGGGAAGGTTGATCAGTTGGCCAGCCCGCACGGTCCAAGTGATGGACATCGATCCGTGGCCTGTGATACACATCACTGTCCAATTGCGCCTTCAGTTTTCTAAACTTTGACTGGGAACGGCAGGCAGCGCCGAGGCTTTCTTGTCGCCGAGAAAAATCTAAAAGAGGGGAAGTGATCAGGCCGGACGAACTAATAGGAAACGGCGCAATGGTTGAGCCGCACTTGGTAATTCACGTACAAGCGAAATGTGCGACTGCCGCACAAGGTAGGAAGGTACAACTTACAGAACTGTGTAGCATCGCGGACGACTGGCTCTTTCTCTTTTTAGTGCTGTTTTCTGTCGGACACAATGGAAAGTTTGCAGATCCGGAGTCGAATGACAGCGGCTGTGCCGAGCGGATTCCGCAGGTCTCTCTCCCATCACATTCATCCATGTTGACGTCCAACACCATGCCCGGCATCAAACACCGATTCGCGGTTATACGTTCGGCGTGTCTATCTACCCGTCGGACCATTGCACAGTGCCGACTAACGTGTCGAAGGTTCCACCGCCAAGGAGCATGAAGGTGCGAGCCCCATCACGGCAGCGGCCTCTGCATCAGCATCGTTCAACCCTTCGAGGCAAGAACTTTGATTTTTCACCCAAGGGCGTGTCCGATGGCCTGGAAATGGCTTTTGGAAATGGTTTCTGGAAATGTGGTCCGTATTAGGTACTTCCACTTCGGGGTAAAACGGGCTAATTCCTAGTCCCCAGTTATTCTTGGTTCGATTTCCAGAATCCTTACCTAGGTAAAGTCTACATTGATGTGAGTTTCAGAATAGTTGGCAATACTTACTTTTTGGATGCTATGGACGACAAAGAATGCACCAATCAATGACCAATACAGCATTCCCGAGCCCAAGTTTCCAGGTCATTGGACACGCCCTTAAAAAAAACTACAATGACCGCTTGAGTGTACTACCCATCTGGTAGTACGTCTCTCGTGCTACTATAGATACCGGTCTGCACGACATCGTACTACCCGAACCCCAAGGGAGTGTGGGTTTGCAGCACTTTTGTCTTTCTTCTACGAGGTTGATGGTGTCCCATGATTCCGGGAATGTTTCTCAAACGAAAGAGGGATCGAAGTTCCAGTGTACGGGTTAGCTTGAAGTGCACTAATAGAATTCTGCAAAGTAAATACATTTTCAGGTACCGTCCTCACTTCTCCACGAGGAAAGAAGCCCCTCGAGGCCCGCACCGCAGAACGTGATTTGCTGCTCCACAATGGAAGCGGATTGGCGGGCGGCCGAACCCGCTACACTTCTGAGACACACCAGGTCACTCCATACACTACTTCCTTCTGCTTCACACACTTGGCGATTATGGTTTGTTTGTTTCTCCATCGAACCTGCACTCTTTGGCACAAGAACAGCTAACTGGATAGCACAACAAAAGAGTCTTCGTATGGAGAGTGCAAAGAAATAGCTCGGCGAAGTTCCAGCCATCATATCGATGTCTCCTTCGATATTCGGTGCTCCTTCAACGAACCGCCTCGGCCTAGATGGCTCACTGCAGTGATTGCCCTACTCGTGCCTCGAGGTCATCTGTCTGGCTTAGGTCTTTTATCTTTCACCCCCATGACACCACCATTCGACATCATCGACACATCACACGATGGGTAGGCGGACAAGAAACCAGAAACCATTGTCACAGATGGATGATTGCTTGGCTGTTACATCCCGCAAACCTCCAGATCCAGAACTTCAGATGATCGCTTCTTTGGAACCGGGCACTGCGAACCCCGGCTCTTTCGTCAACCATAGCTTTCTCGTTTTGGTCACATAGGTTAGCCGCTTCGGGATCATCCCGACCCTGGTGAACAGCACTCGCTAGTGACAGATAAAGCTGGGGGCATCCTGGGCATGGTCGATCAGCAAGAAGATCCCGGTTTTCTGTCATCGACCGTGAGCCAAAGACAAATACGACCAGCGAGAACAAGGCTGCCCTGGATGGCATTTTAAAACCCCTCAGACACAGCAAGGTATACGACCCTTATCTCTCTGCTAGGAAAACTTATGCAGTGGTCCGGCTGTAGTAGAACCTATTGGACAAGTGTCACAGAAAAGCCATGATATGTAGAGCAGTTTTCGAAATGTTCCGATGTTGATTACGACTAAGCTATGTTCACAGCCGCAAGAACAAAACACAAGCAGCGCAAGGCCCGCCTCATACCTTGCTGCGTTATGAAACCAAAGAACGCCGCAAACCCAATTCGATTGTATCATCCGTGTCCAGCAACGGCACGGTCGAGCCACCACGCGGCCCTCCGTTCCGTTCTCAAACCCGCGGATACTCGCACGACTTGCCCGTCGGATCCTGCGTACACCACGTCATGTACACGGACGACGACTGCACGCCCCTGGCGACCAAGCGCTCCCTGAGCTCCGACAGCCTCGGCGCCGCATCGAGTTGCGTCCGGTTCTGGCCTGTGGCCGGGTCGATGCGTCCGGACCAGAGAACCTCGCCAGCAACGCTGGCCCGCGGCCAGATGATGGTATCGAGGGCGATGGGGTCAATGGACTCGGCCCACACGGCCACCTCGCCGCCGAGGACGAGCTTGGCCTCTTCCTCGGTCAGGTTGGCGGCTGGGTCGTATGAATAGACGTGGCGCCAGCCCTTGTAGGGGTTGCACCAGTCGAGGAAGGGCGAGAAGGCGGTGTAGTCGGCGTTGTCAAAGTTGAGCCATTGGCCGCGGCCACAGTCGAGGTACTAAATTTTGGTTAATTGTCAGCTTTCCTTGGCTTCTACTTGCGGTTCAAATTTCATTGCTTGCCCCCCCCGCTTCCCCCCAATCCCCTTTCCCCCCCGCGTCCCTTGCGTTTCAATTCTTGTCTTTCAGGCTCCAAACAAACATCGAGATGAGAGTCAACTTACCCAAAAGTTGTAATTGCTATCAATCACCTTGTGGCCTCTGCTGGTCAAGTTCTTGACCGAAGACTGACCAAGCCACGTCTGCACCACGACATCCTTGCCAAGGTTGACATTCCACTCGATCGGAATCTCCTCCCAAGTGAGGGGCGTCAGGCCCTCCTTCCTGATGCGCTCGTGCTGCTTATCGACGAATTTTTGAAGCAGCGGGCGCAACACCTCAGTATCGTTCGACTTGATGCCCTCGTCCAGCATCGAGTCGTTCCTGTTCAGCTCGTCCCCGCCAGTGTGGAAGTAGGCCGAGTACGGCGCAACGCGGGGCAGCAGATCGTCCCACAGCTTTCCGAGAAAGTCGTCGACCTTGGTGTCGTTGAGCTTGAAGGCGCCGCAAGGAGGCTCGACGCACCACCACTGATACGGCCACTGGTCATATGCGACAATGAGGTCCGGGTGCGAGAGCGACAAGGACCCGATGTGGCCCGGCATGTCGATCTCAAAGTACACCTGCACGCCCCGGAGGGCACCGTACTTCTGAATGAGGTCGATGTCGGCGGGCGAGTACGTCTGGCTCGAATGGTAGGCGCCCTTCTCGGCCACCTCAGGCATGGAGATGATCTGAAGCGGCCATGATTGCGAATCGGTGACGTGCACGTGCAGCCGGTTGAGCTTGCTGGTGGCCATACCATCAATGGTCCGGAGGATGTTCTTGACGGGCATGAATGTGCGCGCAACGTCGAGCAAGATGCCGCGGTGCGGGTACTTGGGCTCGTCCTTGATCTCAACGGGCGCGTACGGCGTGTACCACGAGGTGCCGGTCGAGTGCTGGTAGAAGAGCTGCGTGAACGTCTCGAGGCCGTGCAGCACGCCGATATAAGAGTCAGCCGTCAGCTTGACGTCGCCCTCGACGCTGAGGGTGAGGCTGTACGCTTCGCTGACCTCGCCGGCCAGTGCGGGTTTGAAGGCGGTTTTGGCATCTTTGGCCGTCTGAACGATCTCGAGCGACTTGATCCAGTTCTGACCCTTGTACAGGTCGGGCTCGAATTCAGACAGCTTTCCGCGGGGCTGGAGCATCCAGGGGACGATGTTCCTGGAAAAGATGGAGCCCAGCGCGCGCGAAACGCCGGCATGGACGATCTCTTTGCTGCTCAGGCTTGAGGCGGAATAGTCTTCCTTGTAGACGAGCTGTTGTTGCGCTGGTGTTTTAGTGAACAGGCCTTCATAGCCCGGACCAGCAGATCCGCACACGTTGTTGGATGCAGAGAGAAAGAAAGAGGAGGAAGAGGAGGAGGAGGAGGAGAAGGAGGAGAAGGAGGAAGAAGTTGGGCGCCTTACAGGTTCTCCATTATAGGTAACGTTGATCTTCTGATGCAGGTACAGACTTGAGTTGCCCTTGGTGAAGCTCTGGGGTGCCGGCCATATCGCGGATACTGGCTCGAGGAGGGCAACGAGTGAGACTGCAAGCAGCCTCAGCGAGGGCATAAAGACCATTTCTTGACAATCAGTTCGGAGTGTTGTGAAATCTCGTTGAGATTGTCTTATTGAACGGGGGCAGTTCGTTTTCGATATACGAGGTGACGCAGATATCGGGCGTGAACGACTTGAACCAAAGGTACGAGGTTGATGAAGTGGAGGACAAGGCCCTGAGAACAAGGGAAGAGGTTCTCTTTTAAGAACGTTATACAAGGGCTAGAACTTGGTAAACAGAAACGTGAGGGCTTAGAAGGAGTGGCTTGGTTTTTTATATTGGATGAGAGAGTGATCATCCGAAAAGCGGTTGAACCTTTAAACGTAAGAAGGGCCGGTGACCAATCGGACAGGGGTATCTACCCTGGTGGCCTGCCCCTTGTTGTTGTGTTGCAACACAGCAGGTAGTAGAGACGGACGGATCATGGATGACCATCCGACCATCCTCCATCATGTTGCTGTCTTGTCCTGTCTTGTATTGTCTTGCCTTTTCTGTCGGAAAACCTGCACACGCCGTCCCTCTACATGCAGTTACAAGTGTTACCTCAGCCTGGCTGCCCTGGGCTTCCTGTTGTTGATTCGCAGGGTTCGTTGGCAAAACTAAATAGTTGGCAGGTAAGTATCTGCAGTGACTAACTACCAACATGGTATGCTGAAAAAGCAACACGCGAGAAAGATGCGACGTAACGAATAAGCGACTGTCAAACAAATAGATCAGTTAGGTTGGATGGCTAGACGAGACTCGGTGGTGGATCACAGATCACAGCCGCCGCTCAGGGTCAGGTCAGGTAGACAGGGCAGTATAACAGGGTATGCTAACCCCTAGAAAACCTCCATAGATCGAGTCAAAAAGAGTCAAGACACAATAGACAACGAAGAAGCTGTTGAAAAAGAAGGCTTGTGAGATACCAATCGGGCCACCCAAGAAAAAATCAACTCAAAAGATGAAAGGGAATGTAACCCTCCGTACGCAGTACGCAGTACGTGGGAACAGGAAGCTCGTACGTACTGACTAGTACCTAACCCCCATCCAGCCCATGGCACTCAGCGTATCTGCGCCGTTGATGAGACTCTTTTGTTCAATTAGACCATTGACCCATAGAAGGCTCTTTGTCCGCCTCTTTGGATGTTCGATTTCTTGGTGTTTCTGATTTTTTGCCGCGTCATGTGTCGGAAGTATGGTAGAGGTGATGTCCCAACATTATCTTGTTGGTTGAGGGTGCAATCGCTTTTGGGGGATGTAATGATGTAATGTGCTTGGTTCGCCTCTTTCAGAAAAGCAGCTGCTGTTCGTTGCAATACAGTGTACTGTGTACAACTCTGCCAGCATCGATCTTGTTAAAGCGAAATCGCCACCCTACAGTATTTCAGGGGTTCAGATGTGGTCAAGCCAGCCATCTTTTGTACGAAGGCCAGAGTCCTTCACACTTGCAAATCACCACGCTAACAGGGTCAGTGCCGGCAGAGGTGTACAATTGCGAAACGTTACGTCAGAGGGATTTAAGCTTAGTGGACCTAAGTTTTGGAATAACAGCTTCATGGGAGACATGGAAACGTCTTTTTCGTCGATGGCGAAGTGTGCGAAGAAGAAAAAGATCGAACACTATCTGGTATGTTTTAGTGCAAGTGTGTTCGGTGCCAGTGGTGGTGGAGTGGTGGCAGTACCTACATCACAGGTAGAGGTACGTAGCCGGTAATGTATGCATATCGATAAAGTCGCCGTGCGGAGGACTACACTACTATATGGGTTGAGGTTCGCGGACGGTGGGCCCCAAGTACGGTAAGTTACACCACAGCTTTTTCTGGTCGGTAAGCCATGCGTTACAACACTACTTATGCATATGCTCTCTCCCTGTGCTCTTGGCTTGGCTGTGAGCTGAATGGAAATCTTGTGATGCCATGCCACGATGAACTGCGCCCCGGAACGGAGTAAAGAAGGGCGAAAGATGGTTTTTTATTTCTTAGATCGTACATGGAAAAGGCTTTGGGCGGCCGTGCTTCCGAAAAGAGTGATACGATTGTAGTTGATGTCTGAATGTTCACCACACCTCCCACGTTCACGATACTTCCTGCGTGTCCTGCTTCTGGCAACTCGAGCCTCAATGTAGGGCGAAGGCGGTGTTCTGGCATTCCGGCATACTCTGCCTCGTAGTGACAGATCTTGAGGTCGGCCCGGGTCGTTGGTTCGCTACTGTCCTTCTCTAGTGTTTACATGTTAGCAAAGCCGCAAGGGGCATGCGTCTGGAACGAGGATGCCTTGTCCAACGAGGAGGAGGGGTGGTTTATAAATAATTCTTAGTGGTTGCACCGCAGTTAGGAGGATCCTGTTGTCGGGCGCCACTCAGCTGCCCTACTTGATCTGTAGCACTGCTCGTCTGTGATGAGCCACGATGCAATCCTTTTCTTTTCCTCCTGCTGATCTGGGACCTGAAAGGATGAACGCGCTTGCTGTATTCGAGGAAGAGGTAGTAGAGAAGACATCGGTTGCTGCTCAGCTGTCCGAATCCTTCCAAGCAGTTTCGACCACGAACCGAGTGGAACTCATAGGGCATCCCGATCCGCTCGTAACACGTCGGTTTCGGTGTGCTTTTTGTAGTGTACCACGCTTCAGCGCAACAAGGCCCATGTGTCTTAACCTAGCAGAATGCCACAACATCGATATCTCGTCAAGGGTCCACCGAGAGAGAGTAGACCACGGAAGAACGGCTATCAGTGTTGTGAACTGGGCGACTGCCTAGGCTTCAACTGATCTGGCGGTAGATGGCGTCAAAAGTTGGAATTATGA